GGACAATCAACGATTCACCCCAGGACAAAGGGATACGCTCCTCCGTCCAAATGCTGCGAAGTAACATATATATATATATATATATATATATATATATCACGTCTGAGTTAAAACTGTGCCAAACAAATCGCGGTACAATAATCTTTATGAAAAATGAAAACGCTCCATTATTTGCATGTGGGCTGAATACTGCCAGGTTGCCCAGGTGAAAGCAGGTGAGTTTCCTGAGGAATCCACAACCGGAGCCTTCAGTTAATCAAAGTCTGACCCGCAAGGTAGCGGGGCGGTGTGAAAACCGCTATCCCATAAAAGCCGGTGTCCAGTTCATCGGATCATACTCCCTTTGGACGGTGTCAAACGTCCAAGGTGCCCAACACACCTCAATGCCCAATTGAGCCGGTGACCGCTGCCACAACCAGGAAGTTGTGTGTGGTTCGTACGCCTCCTCTTGGTTGGTTTGGAATCAGGGTTTTTGGTCAACTCCCGTAGGTGAACCGGGTTATAGCTCGGATATCGGCTTTTCGTCCTCTCACTTTGATGGGGAAACACCTCCGCCACGAGAAGTCAGTGAGTAGTTTTTCTTCAGCAGAGGCTATTTGAGACGCTTGGTCGCACGGGAGCGTTTCGCGAGATGCAAGGGAGGGTGATCAACCGCAACCCTAGACACCACCTTGACACCCCCGATCATACTGCGAAGTAAGCTAGTAATCGAGTCGACAGGAGAGTATTGTCATGAAACGGTGTGCTCCGTGTGTTCACTCTATAGGTTCATTTTCCTTTCTCCTCCCTAAAAGTAGGCTCAATCCCTGTCTACCTTACACATTCTCACTTGCCTTGTATGCATTGCGAGTACGGCTCTAATCAATGAAGTTCACATCACTGTATTTCATTATTTTTTATAATAAGTAGGATAGACGATGCGAATACCTCTTGAAACTCACTGTGTAAGAGCGTTGTTTTTTTCGAGAATGAGGACTCTGGGGGCTGCTAGGAATTTTTAACCCGTACTCATTTTGAACCATAAAATTGTTTCAATTTATTTGTGAAACATGCTCATGCACGACCGATCCGACACTCACCTTTCGTTTTTCCTACATTCTATCCGTTTCTAACAAATAATCCCATTTGACATCATTAACGTTCGCTAGTACAGATTTTAGCCTAACACTAAACCTTTTAAATTTGTTTTTTTAGCCCAACTATTACCAAAGGTGTCTTCACGTTTGATATCGTGCTCCTTGTTCCCAGCCAGTCCAATCTCGTCTACACTTCCTAATACATCATCAAATCAAAGCACGTTGTGTTCCAGACCTATGGCCACATTGGCCTACATGGCCATAACGGGACCTCATCAGAAAAAGCGGCCGCCCAACAAACCGATGGATCAGAAACCGTTCATGAAAGCGATCGTGCTCAAAACACTCATACGAAAACCGAAGAAACCGAATAGCGCCAACCGCAAATGTGTTCGTGTTCGTTTGAGCAATGGCAGAGAGGTGGTAGCGCATGTACCCGGTGAGGGACATAATTTGCAAGAACACAACATTGTCCTCATTCGCGGTGGTCGCACTCAAGATCTAATCGGTGTAAAGCACAAAGTTGTCCGTGGAAAGTATGATTGTGCTCCGGTACAAAAACCATCCAAATAGTTTGGTTTTATTCGAGACCGGAGATTTGTAAATATAGATATCACAATAGAAACGATTCGTTCAAGCAACACGTGCGTGTGTGTTCTCATTCGATGTGGATTGTCTCGGATTGTTTGTTGACCTTTATTGATTTTGATTGGAATCAGCCTGTTTGACTGTCAGTTATCGGCTCTCTGCGCATCACTTGACAGGGTTCTAATACTTTTTGTTACTTCTAAATTGAATTGTATGGAAGGAGATAAATTTCATGCTCGATTGCATGCTGTCAGATGCGGTTGGTTAGTAATCCTGTAGGAATCATATTGATCCTGATTCAAAGGTGACAACACTTGAAGGTGACCAAGAATGTGGTAAGCCTGAGCTCGAGTGCAGGATGTTTCCCGATTGTGGGCTCGCTTCCCAATCGAATGTAGACCCAGTTTGGGCATCATCTAGAACCGTTGACGGACGTTCTCCGTTAGGGTGTTTACTAACGATCTGTTAGAGAAAATACCATGAACCAAAGGGTTTAATGAAAAATAAACTCAATTTACACTCAAGCTGAAATGGTAAGATTCTGATTGCGGTGCAGGTGGTATACAGGGGTAGTGACGTTCAACAGTTTGGTAGTCTCCTGAAGAAACAAGACTGAGAGATACATGTGAAAGGTAGCCTTGGTGTCCTTCGGTTCAATACCACATCTAACCCAGCAGGGTCTTGTGTGGTTCGCCACTCTAAATCCGAGGGCTTAAGTGGCCGATTTCCCTCACTAAGAAGTAGGTCTCCGTGACTATGGGGTCCACCTCGTCTTTTATTCATTACAAAATGTCAAAAAACGTATTTTGGCGAAAACTTTATCAAGATAACTATTCTCCATGGGTAAGACACTGGTTAGCAACGGTTTCTGGGAGATGAACTGCCAAGACAGGTACCAGAGAAGAAAAACCAAAATATTAACGGTCGAAAAAGAGTATAGGAGCAATCGCTCGATGAAAACTTAGTGACTGCAGATTGGAGGTCAGCGAGGAGTAGTGTAGTCGGATGAACTTGCATCGAACTCGATCAAGAGCCAAAAACGAAGCACCACCCGGTATTGGTATTTACTATTCAGGTGTCGGTTGGGTTTAAGTTTTGTACAGTAGTCAACGCAATTATAGCCATGTTTTACTGACACATATGTGAGTCCAGACTGTGTCGAACAAATTACGGTAAAATAATCCCTATGAAAAGAAAAACTTCCATGATTTGCTTGAGGGCGCGGTACGGCCAGATTAAGGCAGATGCAGATTCACAACCAGAGCCTTCGGCTAGCCACAGACTGACTCGCAAGGCAGCGGGGCTGTGTGTAAAACCCGTAATCTACTGAGGGTCGGTATCCAGTTCATCAGATCATGCATCCTTTTGGACGGATTTAAACTTTCAAGGTGCTTAATACACCTCGATGCCCAGTGGAGCCGGTGAATGCTGCCACCACTAGGAAGGTTTATATGTGTTTGGTTCGTACGCCTCTTCTTGGTTGCTTTAGAATCAGAAATTTTATCCAACTCCCCTAAGTGAACTACCAGTGGTTCACTAATCCGGTTATAACCCCGAATTTCGACTTTTCGTCCTCTTAATGTGGTGAGAAAACACCGCCACGAGAAAGCAGTGAGTAGGGCTTCCTCAGCAGAGTCTGTCTGGTGTCTGTGTGCGACGCCAACAAGTCTCCTTATGCTCGGGAATGGGTGTCTAGGGTTGCGGTTGATCACCCTCCCTTGCATCTCGCGAAACGCTCCCGTGCGACCAAGCGTCTCAAATAGCCTCTGC